AATTTTGCTCGATTTTAATACAGAAATAATTCGAAATTAATGTATTTTATAAATATAATTGCTTCAATCTTAATTTTAGGCTGAAATAAGGCAATTTGTGATATGTTCAATCGATTTGGCTCAATTTTAAGTTGTGAATCAACCTGAATCAAAGTATTTCAACCAAATACTGGCTTTAATAAGAGTTTTCTTCTAAAATAAAGCAATTTGAGCTATTTTAAATTCAATTTTTCTAGATTTTAATATAGAATTATTTCAAAATTAAGGTAATAAAGCAATTTGTGATATTCTCAATCGGTTTGGCTTTATTTAAACCAGAAATTAACCTGAATCAAAATTTTTCAACACAATGTTTTAATAGAAGTTTTCTTCCAAAACAAAATAATTTGAGCTATTTTCAATTAAATTTTGCTCGATTTTAATACAGAATTAATTCGGAATTATTGTATTTTATAAAAATAATTGCTTCAATTTTACTTTAAGGCTGAAATAAAGCAAGAGTTTTCTTCCAAAATAATAACTTAAATAACTTTTAATATAAAATGGAGTGACGAATTTGGTCACTAAAAATCAAATAAATTGGTAACCATAACACTGTTATGATTTAATCACTAATATTTAATAAAAAAACGTCAAAAAAGCTTAATTAAAAGAAATGTAAATATATGTGTCTCTATCAAAGACAAACATCTCACCACCCATTGATTTTCGAAAAATCTTTTCATAGTGAATTTTTACACCCTAAGAAACATATTTTCAAAATTTCATAACCCGCAGACAAATTAAGATAAGTCAAGCTTTTGAGTAAATTTATCGTCGAGCTCTTTTTATCCATTTCCATGCAACAATTATGAACCGACCTCGACATGCTAATTTTTGCTTGATCAAAGAAAGTGTCTGCACGTGACAGGAAAATTTCAAAACAGATACCAGTTAAAAGCTTCGCTTGTGTACAACAACTTTTCCCCTAATTCACTTTACACCGGTCGATATTAATTTAACTAACATTTTTCTTAATTCGCTGCGAAATTGGCACTATCAAGAATCCCCGAGAATACATTCAAAAAGAACGGTAATTCGATAGCGAGATAAAAGAGCTGCTGACGGGTGATGAAAGAAAAATGAAATTTGATAAAAATATAACAACAAATAGATGGTAATCGAGTTGGAAAGAATTTTATTTCAGATTTTCACATTTCGCGTTTCGCAAATTATTTCATTTTTAATTGAGATAAAACGAGTTCTCGTCTATTTTTGCTGATATTTCGCCGTAAAAATTAATTATTTCTAGAAGAGAAGCTTTTCAAAATCAGCGATGTTATATTAAAACCCAACTACAAACCGCAGATACAAAATTATTAGCGAATATTGATTTATTCACTCGAACCGGGAAACATTATTATTATTATAAAATATGAAATATAAAATCATCTATTTGCATAAAAGCGTAAACAATTTATGGACAAATTGATACTTTATTAAATTCTAATTAATTTCCACCTCTTTTTCAGTGATTTATTTGAGTCGGTGGAAAGGAAAATTAATTCACGACGCCGGCGACAAGTTCCGTCATAAAATTAAAGCTCACTTCTTCATGCAAATTTCGGACAAATATTTGACCTCTCAATTGGCAAACTAAACGTTTCAATTATTAAAATGTTCGAGTCAGAAGTGAAAAAAATGTAACGTTTAATTAGGATAATAAAAGGACGGGCACAGGTGTACAAAACTGTTTGAAATCTGAATAAACAACATTGCTGTATTCTGTAGGAGACATTTTAATTATCGCAAAATTTACATCTGTTTTGGCAATACATCAAAATAACGTCATCTCTATGCCCAAAACTGGATTTAATTAAAATACTGCTCAACGTCGTGAATCCTGAGATAATACCAAATGTTTTCTCGAGTGGTCGCGAAAACAAATATTTGGAGTAAAACGACTCGACAAACAATCACATCCAAGTGAACTGTTCTACAATTTTGGTTTAGCTTATTTATTTATTTTTTTTCTTTATTCCAAATTAGTATTCAGCTGTGGACCTTCGTTGAGAAAGTTTAACGTTCTAGATTCCTTCACAAGAATACGAAATAATTCTGATTACATGGAAAGATTCAGACGCAACAGTGGAGAAAAAAAGAGGCTTTAATTTAGTGTGGGACGACTATTTGTCACTTAAAGACGATTATTGCGTCATTAGACGAAATTAGCTAAAGTGTAAAAATTCAAATCTGTCGTAATATCTCGTTTTTTTGACATATTTTCCACCTTTTATTATTCTATAATTTTTTTTAAGTAAAAATATTCATTAAAAAAATTTAATTGGTCTTCGAAAACAGCATAAAAAACCCAACACAAAAAAATGGTATAAAAAAAACGTTACAGAAGGCAATTGTTTCATAA